TATATATATATATATATCAACATATTCGAGTTCAAATATATTTCAAATGGCAACTTGAACAATGTTCATTTGTTCGAATATGTTTCATTACAAACATATTCGATATTCGTTCTTCGAAAAAAAAAAAACTTTGCGACTCTTCAACTATTATATGAACAGACTGTTGACCTCAATTACTTCACACATTATCAAGTAATGAGAGCTTATATAGACTCATAACCGTATAGGGTATTCTTATAAGTCCCCATTACTCGTAAAAGCTTTTGAGGGCCAAGTAAGGTCATTAAATCTTGTGGGTGCAACGATGCTAAGCTAGCATCGTATCCAATTATGACGGCGCAGTTGCTATCGATTTTTGTGAACATCACCAGCGGACGCTTGTTTATGCACGATGCCTGCATAATGAGTCCCAGGGAATCGAGATGGCTGAGTTCTTCGAATTTTGGACAGATATTAACTATGTCTTTTTGGGGAGATAACGTAACAATACCCCTTCATCGGCGTAGCAAAATTCTCCAAAGGATTGCCGCCTTTGCAGTAATCTAGGGTCTCTTCGCGCCACTTATTGCCTTATTGACCAAGTGACTAAGAAAACGAGGCACGTTCACTTATGAAGCCCTTGTAACTAGTTCTATGTGACTGTGACGATTTGACATGTCAATGTACACTAAGCTTAAGTTATTTTCGGCTCTCCTTCTATGCGCAAATTAGTTTTCTTCAACTTTCAGCTTCTTCAGAAAGTGAATCGGAGATGTACGGAATTTGCTGCAAATCCAACATTTATCGAATGAGATCTTACCTATTTTTTGAGCTCAACTTTAAACCTTCTATTTAAATCCCATATTCAGACATGCCATTCATTAGAGATTAGATGTTGTCGTTTCCTTATCACTTAGGCCAGCAAAACAATTAGTGGCTCGAGAAGGCTTGAATATCCTAAGGTTACATATACGAAAGGGGCAACCCTTTGCAAGATCCTGCGCCGCCTTCCCGCCAACTCTCCTTGGTTCGGTGAAAGTTACATCTACATAGCGTGTTTGTATGAACATCTGTTAGCATAAAATTTAGAAGAAGATAGCTCAAAAAGTACCAACACAAAATTGAATCAATTGCGACTCAAAAACCCCATACTTAGAAGAAAAGCATGGTCCTATTTAAACTGAAGTGATAAGACGTCTTAAGTTCACTGCTAGGAAAAAAAATGAACCAAAATTCACTTTCTGCCAGGGATGCTGCAGAAATGCACATAGTTTTGCAGCGACAGATAAGTATTTCAAAACAAAGTCTTACCCCAGGTCCTCCTCCACCATATCCGCCTCCTCCTCCACCACCGCCGTATCCACCACCTCCACGACCGCCACCATAGTAATCATCTCTTCCAGCCATCTAAAGTTTGACTAGTTTGTTTGCTGATAGCCTGCATAAGCTATCGCTCAACGTTGTTGGAGAAAAATAAGAGAGACGATGAAAGATAGGATAACTTTGCAACAACCAGAAAAAAACATCCTCTAAATAAGAACAAGGTTAGCTTCTATGAAGGAAAACTGTGAGTTAAGTTTGAAACAGCTTGAAGTCACGACAACAAATCGAAAGCATGAAGCCGAGAGAATCGAAAAAAGGAGAGACTGATAGGAATTTTGAGAAGAATGCCTAAGGTCCTGCCTCTACTTGTAAATGCCCGACAAGGCATGATACAAGACAAGGTGGAAAACGGTCCAAAAGAGCTGCGCATTAATTCCAATCCTTTGTGTACTAATAGAACTTCAAGAAACTCCAATCCAAACGTAAGATGTGTAGGCAAGGACATAAAAAACAATAAAGAATGCCTGCACCGAATGTGATTACGAAAAACTAAAAATATGACGAAAAAGTAGGATACAGACCGCTACGGAAGACGCGCCGCGCATTTTTGACCGGCGTGATGTCTGCCTCTCTACCAGTGAAGGTTCGACACTAACGAGCTGACTCTGGCCTCTTCACGATTGGAGCGTGACCTTTCGGGTCGAGCAGCTTACACCGCAGGACTACATATTTGTGCTATTCCAAATCATATTCGAAAGTAAGACTTGGAATTTTGTGTGTTTCGTCAGCTCTTCCAAATTCTCATTAAGGGCAAAGGGAGGTTGCGCATTTTTT